TAGCCAGAGAGTTGTTTTAAATAAGTGACATATGCATTACACACCAACAATTTAAGCAAGGTGAGGAAATGCTAACCTGTGATTTGGTCGCCAAATCAAACGTCAAAAAAAGGGTCTAGCCATTTGTGAGATATAAGAGAATTGGGTTAAGCATAGACAATATCACTCCAATGAAATCGAGACAACCCTTCCTTGGTGCCGTATTGATGCGCACAGCCTCTCAATTCTGCTCTCTCAGATGCTACACACCAAAGTGCGCGTGTGTGCACAGACGCAGCGAGGCTGCGGCGATTCAGGGGTCATTTGCAATGCAAGTTGATTCACGATAGACCAGAGGGCCGCGCCACTAATTCCACACCTGTATGCAATTTCTCATCTTGTCGCCACAACCGGTGGGATAATTTGGCCGTGAACTAAATGAAGCATTACTGGAAACGCATCTTCTACCGGATCAAAAACCGTCACGCCTGTCGGATTGAAGAGCGATAGGAACAAGACGTGCCATCACTTTCACTCTGGGATGAAGTAATCGAGTGTGTGATCAACGTAGTTTATTTAGTACCAGGGTTGTGATTAACTATGGCTCGCGAGTAATAAACTTTAAGCCAACACAAATAACGTGCTTGAACGTTCTCTAAGTGTAGGGAAAGTCAAAAGTGCCCAACTTGAAAAAGACCATTTTCCAATATCTGAAACATTTATATATTTAGTTTGTATGATGTGTAAACATTGCAGCTAGTAGTAGTTTTCAGTGAACATACTAAAATTACATTGAAAAGTGTCTCTTACTCAACGGTGGATTTCAGCTGGTAGTTTATGATCCCTAGCAGCAAAAAAGACCGATATAGAAGCAGTTCACAGGAGCAATGGTCCATACAGCCGGTAGCGAAAGGCGATTTTCGGACTAATCGTTCAAAATTTGCTGTTCACTCCAATGACTCCATTTAGACAACATAAAAGACGACATTGCTGCAATCAGAGGAAATGTCGAATAAACCTATTCAAAATATGCTTCAAGTGGAGAGGAGACTGTTGTGCTGGGTGGTGGTTATTAACGATAGAAGAGAAACTAGTAATAAGTGTCGAACCGTGACCTTCTTCGTGGCTTTTCGAAAGTAAAAGGCACAATGAATTTTAAAAAAACCTCACCGGCTACACTGAAACCTCAGAAAGCAGATCAAGCGTAGTTGAAGTTGAAAGAACTCGCTACCAATCACAGCTACTTCAACCTAAAAGCACTACTATATTTTCCCGTTCAAAACCATTCTAACGGATGTTTGCGGTAGGTAATCGACCTTTAATTGCGTTTGCGATGAGTCCGTAATTGGCCGACAGTTCAGTATACACTAGGGACCTACTCTCAAATGAGCATAATTTTCATCGAAATGAAGCGAGTTGCATTGCGGCACCCGTGTGCAAAGACGCGGTTTTGTGACGCGTAAAAATTTCGAAACGACATTTTTCCCACAATCGCGCCAAGATAATTTCCATCTTTGGCCAGAGTTAAGGTTTTCATGCCACGTATCACCATCTTGGCTTTCCAAAAAGCAAGATTGTCCTAACTTACTCAGCAGCTCATGGAAAGCGGACCAGACCCATCGATAATGCGGAAAGTATGTGATGGTATCTAAAAGTTGTTTTGCAGAGAAAGCAAAAGTTGCTCAGCAATAGGTCGAGTGAGTGATCTCAGAAAGCTAGGTTTCTCTATCTATTTCGATTATTAATGACTGATTTTGTTTTTCAAAATATTTTGTACTGTAAGTTAAGCATTGAGACATCGACCAACCGAGCAGGGAGGAAAGCTTAGTCGCTACAATGACGTGACTTGGCGTGAAGCAACGCTTGTGGGTGAGACCTTTACGGTTGGACAATTTCACATAAAGAAAAAGAATTCCTGTTGCATTATCCAAGCTATTGATTTAAGCGTAAATCGTACGTAAGTGGATTCGGTCAAAAGTTTTGCCCATGGTAAGGAAATAAAATGCAAGGCTGCATTACCCGCATAAACAAGGCAGTGAAATGGGTAAAAGTGAGGCGTAATCATCGGCAATGAGGTGGGGGGGGGAGGTGGGGGTGGGAGACGAATGCGGCTATAAGAAGAGCGGAAATGAATCCAACTTGTTCCACTTAGCAAGAATTCGTAAAACATGTTAATGCCTCCCAGTCCAACTACAATTAAAGTTATCTTTTATTAAAAAACCCAAACTCAAGACATGTCGAATTCGATGACGCGATTAAAAACTAACTTCATTCACAACCCAATGAACATTTGTGAAGATCACTTTTAGACAATCTAAGTAATGCGCACAGTAGGAGCTTTTGTAAAACATGTGACCATAAGCAAGTAGGGTAAAACATGAGACGACGGCAACTAGCATAAGACCGCCGTAGTGAGTTTGTTTCACAAATAATGGGTGTGGCACCGAAATGCGCTTTCACTCTGGGTCTTGATGCGCATCATACGAAAAGCCTCTAGGTCAGCCACAATTCGACAGGAATAGAGCATCCCTAGCTAGTACCTTCTGAAACATCAATTCACAACTAGGTGTGTGAATGCGTTCACTTAATAACATCTGATGCACCATGTTTTGCCGCTGCTTTGTAAAGTCTCTAATCCTCACAAAATTTGCTAGCATCAGATGTATTTGTGATTTCTGACGGCTAATTTTGTAGGTGAGCTATATGGTGTGTCTGGAGATCCGCTGTATCAGAAAAACCGACTTTAGGAGGATCTACGTTACAAAGAGACCAGAATGAATGACGTCACAAAGGGTGTGGAATCGGGTTAACATGTTCCACTGTGTCTTGAGTGTTACGACTTTGCTTAAAGACAAGCGCCGCCAGAAAATACCTTTAACAACACACAAAAAGGACGCAATGACAGATCATCCAGTTCACCGTCAAAGAATTTCTACTTGAAGCACCGCAATAGCCTTCAGAGTGCGAATCTACCTATGCATTTACGTCATGAACTATACTCCGTTAAATGAAAGTATTTGTAGATTCCAAGTAATAATAAGTCTTGAAACCACCAATGCATCCAATTTACGCTCCGAAGGCAGAATTAGTACCTAATCCTGCCACTACAACTAAAATGGCCCTAAAAAGTCGG